GCAGGTCATTATCTCCCGAGGGGTCCCAGACTGCGAGAGGGCACAGGCCGGGCTGAGGGACCCCCTCTCCCCCCCGAGTGCACAAATTTTTTTGCACCGGGCCTCTAGTCCTATATAATAAAAGCCTAATATGCAAATTGTCCCCTTGGGCGGTGGTTCGACCGGGTCATCAGGAGTCCAACCGCTCACTATGATGTGCGCTGACCATCAGTGGGCGGCGCAGAACATGGCGGGTGTTGACGATGTGGCGCTGGCAGCGGGCGGCAGTGGAAGCGCTGCTGGCCCTGATGGGCCCCGATGAGAGTGGGACCGTGGCAGGATGGTGGAGCAGGTGAGCGGGCAGCGCCAGGCCAAGGTGGGTGCGAGTGGGGGCCCGATTGCCCTGCAGATGGTGAGCAGCGGTGGCAGGGGGCAGGGCTGCTGCCTGGCTCCCAGGCGCTGAGGAAGAAAGGGCAAATAGCAATATTAAAATGTTTCTTCTAATTATTTCCCTTTCAATATGCATGAATCCGTGCACCGGGCCACTAGTTGTTTAATAATATCATGTGGTAATTGTAATAGCTACAATTTATTAAATATTTACTACTTGTAAAATACTAGGTGATATGTATGAATGTCCTAATTTGTGAAAATTCATACCAACTTGAGGAAGTAGACATAATTATTACCCTCATTTTGCAGGTAAGGAAACAGTAGTATAGAAAGGTTAAGTAACTTGACTAAGGTGAGGGACTTGACAAGTAGAGAGCCAAATTTCAAGCCATATTTCTTTGATATGTAATTCAGACATTCTCATGATAAAAGGTAGGTACTAAGAATATGTAATTATTAACATTTTGGTTTATATCATTTTGGTTGTTTTTCTGTGTGTATATGTGGTACATTTTATTATAATTTGCTTTTATTCTATATTTAGCATATTGTCTGTAAATTTTCCTTAATATAGTATGCAATTTTCGATGCATATTTTATATATGTCCTAATTTATTTACTTACTCACCTTCTTTTGTGTATTCTAATTGTTTCCAATATTTATATTATAAATAATGCAGTGATGATATTCTCATGTATAAGTTTACGCACTTCTTTGATTATTTCCCTAGGATAATTTTTAAGATTGTAGTTATATCAGTGGGTTACTAAATAAATGCAGAACAGTACTTAAAAGATTATTCTTAAGAAATCACTGTGTAAAGCAAGGATTTAAGTTTGAAGAATTTTAAAATTATACTAGAGAGTGGAGAAGTACTCATTTGTCATAAGCCTAAGAGTTTTGTTTCTTATGTTTTGCATTTGGTTTTGCTTTGCTTTGTTTTTGTTTTGCCCTCCTATTTACTCTATTCTTGCTGTAGAAATGAATGCTTGTCTGTAGTTTAACATAAATTAAGTGACTTTGAAGTGGAGCAAATACAAATTAGTTAGCTTTGCCTTTCCCTTTTACTTAAAGTTTTCATGGGAATTGGTGTTTTGAAAGAAGTTCAGAATTTTTTGGTTTTGGCAATGGAATAATAATGGTAAGGGTTAGGTAGATTAATGTGGAGTGATTCAGTTTAGATATGAAAATCTGTGAAAGTCATGTTGGCTTGTCTTGAAAATTTTAGAGAAGGATAATTATAAAAATTCTCTTTCTAAAGTCATTTTACCATTTCTGATACTTGAGTATAAATTTCCTTCCCCTCCTTTTGATCTGCATATGTAACAGCTCTCCCAAATTCTGATCTGCAGGCAGTCTTTCTTGGTTCCTCTCTTTTCTCTCTTCCACTTGCTGTTTAAATTCAAAGAGCTTTTCTGGAAATTGAATCAAATAATAAGGCAGCATAAAACACTGAGTTCAGCAGATTTGCTTGTGATTGACCCTTAAGAATTGAGTTACTATAAGATAAAGAAAGAATGTTTTTTGAGACAACCTGCTCATTCTTCTTTTCCACTTAGGTGAGACTTTTTTTTGTAATAATGCTGTGCTTGGGTTTTTATTTATCATTTCATAATGGCATGTTTTTAGAAAAAAAAGTCCAAAGGAGAGCGTATGACATCCTTTCTGCCCCCAGACCTCTCATAGTCTTTCCTTTCAACAAAAGGCAACTCTGTTAAGGCAGTAAGTAGCCTTGACATCCTTTTTTCCCCCCCGCAGCTTTAATTGACAAATAAAACATTGTATATATTTAAGGTATACAACATGATTTGATATATATACACATTGTGAAATGATTACCACAGTAAGCTAATTGACACATTAATCACCACACCATTACCTTGTGTGTGTGTGCATGTGTGTTTGGGTGTAATAAGATCACTTAAGATCTACTCTCTTAGCATATTTCATATATAAAACTTATAAAGTTTGGCCAACATCGGCCTATTTCTCCTACCCCCAGCTCCTGGAAACCACCATTCTACTCTCTGCTTCTATGAGTTTCACTGTATTTTCTTTTTTAATCCATTCATCTGTTAATGAATACCAATTTCTCTTTTTCTTTCATACCTCATATCTAATCTCTCAACAAATCTTGTTGCTCAGAATATATCCAGAATCTGATAACTTTTCCCCATCCCATCTCTAATCACTTTGGTCCAAACTACCATTATATCTTTCTTGGATTATTTTAATAGTTTCCTAATACACCTCCATGCCTCTGCCTTTGACATGTTTATTCTCAATATGACAACTAGGGATCATTTTAGAATTCTAAATAAGATTATCTTAAGCCTCTGCTCAAAACAGTAATGTCTCATGTCACTCCAAAAAACAACAACAAAAACTGAAGTCTTTATTTTGACCCCTAAGGCCTGCCATAGTCTAATCCCCATGTTACCTTTCTGGCCTCATTTCCTATTCTTTATTTACCCCATCTCACATTCTGCTCTGTGCACACTAACCTCCTGGCTGTTGTGCCCAAGTACACCAGACATACCCTGCCTTAGAACCTTCAACTATGTTCCCTCTACCCACAGTGATTTTTCCTTAGATATTCCTTCTTCATTTTCTTTTTTTTCTAAAGGCACCTTTTCAGTGAAGCTTTCCTTGCTCACTCTGAATTTGTCACTCTCTCCATACTTCATTTACTTGCTTAATTTTTCTATGTAGCCCACTCTCTATTGTATATTTTCCTTGTTTAGATTGTTTGTATTTGGGCTCACGTTAAAATGTGCTTCACAAGGATAGGGATATCCTCAAGACTTCAAATTGTGATTGGCAATTCTAATAAACACTTACTGAGTATTTTTTGAAATCAGTCAACCAATCAGAGATAGGAGATGGCCTCCAAATGGCTACTTGATAAGTTACCTAACTCTTTTATTGGGAATTTCTTTATTTTTGTTAATGTTTGTTTAGCAAGTCATTTATTCCTTTAGTGTTCATACTGTGGATTATCTTTCTTTCATTTTTATAATAAAATCTACCTGACACAGGCCTTAAACATCATTTTCTTTGTCTTCCATGAGACTTTTGGATATATTTACCCTAGTTCAGAATATTTTGAGGCGTGATTAAATGTCAATCTCTTAATCAAGTTTAACTATCATTATTCATTATATTTTTTCTCATTTCAAAACATAATTCCTGTCACTAGCAGACACCAATATAGTACACAGAGGCATCTGGATGGTAGGGGAGCTTTTTAAGACCATATTTATTCCATTACACAAACTTTTTAAAAACACACTACGTGCTAGGTACTTTGGTAGATTTGGAACTCCAAAGAGGTAAACATAGTCCCTACCTCCATAAGTTCACATTTTAGAAGGGATTTGAAATAGGTAAACCATCCTATATAATAAAACCCTAATATGCAAATCGAATGGCGGAACGACTGGTCGCTATGATGCACAATGACCACCAGGAGGCAGATAAACAGGGGCAGTGCTGCTCAGCCAGAAGCCAGGCTCACGGCTGGCAGCAGCGGTGGCGGGAGCCTTTCCCACCTCCACAGCAGCATTAAGGACCCCTTGGGGGATGTCCTGCAGGGAGCGGGTCTAAGCTGGCAGTCGGACATCCCCTGAGGGGTCCTGGACTGCGAGAGAGCGCAGGCGGGGCTGAGGGGGCCCCCCCCCCCCAGTGCACAGATGTTGTGCACCAGGCCTCTAGTTATTAAAGTAATATACTAGCTATGATAATAGAGAGGTTTTCTAAGTACTAAGGGACACTGAAGAGTTTTACTTAGGCGAGGAAGTGGGCAGGGAAAGCTTTACTGAGGGATGACCTTGAAGCGGTTTCTTGGTAAGTAGGAATTTTCCAGGAGCACCTAGCAGAGTGAACAGAGAGGAGTAAAGTATGCAGATGTATGACTGAAGAAAGGACTAACATAGAGTTTTTGCCATGTTTAGACAGTGTGCTGGGTACTTTTGTAACCTTATCTTGGTATTTCATTATGAGCATCCTACAACATAGATATTCACATTGTCAATTTATAGATGAGGAAATGGGCCCAAGGAGATCAGTTCAGGGTCACAGCTGGTAAATGTTAAGTTGGAATTGGAGTCCTAGCCTGGTTAACTTTGAAGCTGATGGACTATCTATCTGTAGCACCCCTCTACATACATGGAAGGGTGAAGTGGTGGAATATTGAAGGAGTTCATGCTTGCTGCATGGATGAAAAATATGAAGGCTTATGAAAAAAGTGAAGATTTAAGATACTAAGAGCAAAAAGGGAGGGGTACCAGTTAAGGATGAGGAAGATGATGATATGGAGCAAAGTTGAAGGCCCAGCCGTCGCCAGGAACCATACTTTTGTAATAATGCTATTTGGTGTGGACATAAGACTTCTTCTTTTTTTATTTTATTTTGTTATTGATTTCAGAGAGGAAGGCAGAGGGAGAGATAGAAACATCAATGATGTTTCTGCCTCCTGCACGCCCACACTGGGGATCGAGCCCACAACCCAGGCATGTGCCCTTGACTGGAATTGAGCCTGGAACTCTTTAGTCCTCAGGCCGAAGCTCTATCCACTGAGCCAAACTGGCTAGGGCTAGACATAAGACTTTTCTTCAGCAACACTTAGTGATCTTGGAAAAGGATTCTCTATGATAATTCTCTTGCGATTTTGAAACCAACCAATGATTCTATTGAGCATTTACCTTTAAGCTGATTTCTGTGGTGCTATTACGCATATGCCTGGAAATATTTAAATCTAACTTATTCATGCATTGTATATGGTTAAAGGGAGTGCAGTGAAAACAATGCTTTTTGGCCATTTTGACAAATATAATCTAAACTCATGCATTTTTAAAAGCTTAAACATTTTTATCAACATCACATAAATTTGTTATGCACATTTTTTATCATGTTTGTTTTACATGGTGACCATGATGCAATTGTTAAAAACTGAATTT